CAATTTCCAGGGAAGTTATAAGGAGTGTCGGTAATGTTCAGAACCCATGGCACCCTTAAAACCATCCTTACCATAGCATTTCACCAAAATACGGAAATTTGTTTTAAATTTTCATTTTTTCCCCCACAGTTTTGGGTGAGTGAAAACTTAAAAAAAATTTCATTCCTAATATTTACGATCAGTATGGTGGATTTATATTTGCTTTCCCCACTGACTATAATGCATTTCACCAAAAAAGGGATATGTTAAAAAACAAAATCAGTTTTTGCCACAATTTCAATTTTCTTATTCCTAATATTTGTTATCAATATGCTGAATTTGTATTCCACAAGGGCATTTTCCCATAGCTTAGTGAATGTGTTGAAAATTCACTTTGCAAATGTTACCCAATCGCATTCAAGGAAAATTGAAAACCAGTATTTTTGTTGCACATGATTGAATGATGGAAGTTAGCAAAGCTTCACCTCAATTACTACACCAAGGGAAAATTCCTTTGTACAGTAAAAATTCCCTTGCAAAGCTAACAGCCTATATGATTCAACCACCTTCGCCAACTTGTGGTGTAAGATAATAACAGGCCGAAAACAAAGCAGCAATCCCTGTACCATGCTCACTCTCGGAATGCTTGCCATATCATACTCTCTAGGCAATGTATCTATGAGTTAGGCTTATGAAGGATCCTGTGCTACGATGTGCAACAAACCATTTTTATGGACATTTGCTCAAACTGGACTGCTCAGTTGTTTACAGATACAGTGAAATAACATCATAGTACTTTCAATTATGTATTTGCAATAGTGACGTTAATCCTGGTGGATAATAACTGACGTGGGCTGACTATTTTGATCTATTTTTGTTTGACTCACAATCTTTTTCATCAACATTAGGTTCCAAGTCGTGCGTAATTGTTTGATATGATTGTCCCATACATACTGTAGATTCACAGCCAATTGAATACAGCCAAAAGTGCATTTACATCATGTCTGCCAAATTATTTCCTAACGTGGCAACATTTATCATATTTCATATGAAGGATTTTTAAAGCCATAACTTCTTTTTTATTTTGGATAGATTAGGGAAGGATCAAAACCCGTTGCCAGTGTGTTCTGTTTGACTTTGTCCCAGTGAGATGTCCCATCCTGTCCTGGAGATGCAGCAGGAAGTGAGGGGAAATCTATACAAAGTGACACAACAGAATGTGAGCACCAATCTCTTCAAAGTGTAGAGAATTACCTATTAGACAGCTGCCACTGGAACAGACGTCCCCATTGGAGTGTTACACTATTTTCTTGTTCAGAAAATACAACAAACAGGACAAAGAGAGAGAGAAAACCAGTTAACATTAAACAGTGATGCATATCCATTTAATAGACAATTTGAGAGTTTAAATCATTTCCCATTTTCATTTGCTTTCTTCGCATGCGGTCAGCAGATACAGATACTGAATATGCTTTTAACACTAAAATAAACACAGTGAAATATAAAGGTTACTCAAATGTGTCTATATAGAAGAGTAAATGATTATGAGGTGCTTGATCACTATGGAGTACTTGCAATTGTTTAAGGGTCAAGAAAATCTTTTACCTTCAGGTATATTGATGAAAGATCTGCACATGCAATAGGGTTGATTGGGGTTGAAGTAGAATGAACATCCAGTCCAAGCTGTGTTCACTTTAACAATGCAATTGTGTGGAAGAGAAATTCCTATCCTTCTGATATGGTTGGATAATGTGAGTACAATTTTTCTGATCAAACGTTCTATTCTTCTACTTCATTGACTCCTAATGATTTCTACATGAATGTACCATTCCACATATTTCTACAATGAGATTGTCTAAGGAAATAAATACACAGACTATAAGCAATATACAAACTATAGGCAATAAGAAATGCTTGTCTCTTATTAGATTTAAATAAGTAACCGAGTTCCGTTCCTACGACCAGGTCGTTAAACGAATTGGTCGTTAAGTGAGGAACTCTATACAGTACTGTACTGCATTAGTACAGTACTGTATAGTGTTGCCGATGTACAGTACTGAACAGTGTACTGTACATCGGGCAATGAAAATACTCACGGGGACACGCTGTGAAGAACAGAGGACGTCACTTCCCCCGGCGACACATCGCACTGGCGCTGACGCGCGAGGTCGGAGGTCGCTCGGAGGACGGTCGTAAGTGCGAGTGGTCGCAAAACAGGTAAGTCGTTAAGCGAGGAGTATCTGTAGTTAAATATCTCCTGATATTTCACTAATTTCCCAGTGTGATCCCTGCAAATCAGGGAAGACGCCTAAAAACAAGAAGGAATAAGCTACCTGTGCTTAAACTGTTTTTGTTTTATTGCTCTAAATTAGGGATGTCCCGATACCGATACCAGTATCGGTATCGGGACCGATACAGGGCATTTTCACAAATACTTGTGAAAATACCCGGATACATAGCGCAGATATCTGCGCTATAATTTTTTTTTTAAGGTAGCTTCAGGTTGCCCAGTGGTATCGCGCTTGTTGAGGTTCTCTGGGCAGTCTGCTGGGCAGCTAAATGAGGACCTCAAAGCACTGCCTCCCACAAGGCAGCCAGATTCACCAGGCACAGCCACAGCGATGCACTCCCTCCCATCGCCACAACATGCAAATAAGAACCACACCAATACCATTGGACAGTCTTTTAAATTAAAGATCTTCATAATCATAAAGAAATTGCCCTAAAACTATTAGTCTGTATTGTTTTATAAAAAATGTCACATGCCCCTTCAAGAAAAAGTATCGGTAATTGGTATCGGCAAGTACATGAGGGGAAGTACTTGTACTTGGTCTTGAAAAAGTGGTATCGGGACATCCCTACTCTAAAGTAATGTTCTCCTTAATTATATATTGTACAAGTGAAAGATTAATGCCATGTTTACCGCTGACATCACTCCATTAGAAATCTTTTACTCCCAGACTGTAGGTTCTAATTGCCATGTGTTAGAATAAATATGAAATATGTAATCGGTAGGCATAAACACAATGTCCTCCCCCAATCCAATATACAATCAAAAGCTCTTCCTGTTGTTCACTATACAATGTACAGGAAGTCACATCACTCCAACACAAGTGATCATAATTAAATGTATTGCGCATGTGCTTTCACTATAAACTAAGATGATGAGCTTTCCCAAAGGACTGTGACCCAAACATCTCAGAAAATATATCTAGGAGCTTGTGTTTAGAATAAATAATATATTTACATACTTATTCCCATTTGCTTCCAACACTATGGACACAACAGGAAATGTCTCTAAAAGTGAGTGGAAATGGCTCAAAAGTGAGGCAAATCCATTCTTAGATAGTTTTCATCATAGCATGCAATCCTTTTGGAAAATTTCCCTTTCGCTCGGGATGGGATGCTTGCCATATCTAGTGCTGTTATGGTAACTACTCACACTTTTGGATTTGCATCACTTTCATTCGTGGTGACAATGGTCAGGAGGTATGGAATATGGATGAGAAAGAATTATTGAGATTCTGCCAAAGGAATTTTGAGAAGAATGACACACCTCTGTATATATTGCCATGTAATGATCATGAAGATGGCATTGTAGAGATTCTAAAGAAATATTCATCTTAATCAAAGCTTCTAAGAGTTCTAAACTGTTTGGAATTATGAAAGTTTCTGGGAAGCCAGGAAATGTTAGCCTTGGATTTTGTGCCTTGCTTCAAGGAAGAGAAAATACTCTTGACCTTTCTGATCAGATTATAAGCAAAGCACACCCGAAATGATTTCAGCAAAACAATCTTTTAAGACTGAATGAAAATTTCAGCAAGTAAAATTGCTCCTACTTTTATACATTATAGATAAGGCAAAGGTAGGCAACCATCCTTTTACACTCCAGGTATTGATCACTGGGAGCCACCATACAGAATGAGGATGTCAGTCAGAGTACAGGTTCTCTATATTACTCAACCAAGCACCTTCCCGTATCTGCTGCACTTTTGGCCATCTATATATTGTGGCTGCACCTGGTAGACTGCTTGGCTATGAACCTTTGGAAGTAAATAGAACTAAGCTCCCAATAAAACAAGGAAGAAATCTTTGTACACCAGATTTAAATTCAGATCTAACCCTACATTCTTTTTCCTTATAAATGCTTTTTGATGGACACTTTGACCCATTCATAGTGTAAGGTATATAACAAAAATTTGAATTTGGAAAAGGGACACAAAAAATAAGATGCAAAAATTTTCACATGCTTTGGGCAGATGTGTGGTCCTTTGTGTAAAACAGGAAGTGAGGGGAATACACTCCAGTGGGGACAAAAACAGCAAACTAAATATTTGTAAAAGTTTTAATCCTTCCCCTGCCCATACAAAATGAAAAATAAAACAGTTTCTTCCAGAGCTCCTCTATAACATATAAGAACTAACAACAGTGCATACAGCTTCCAATATCCTTATACATTTTAGAAGGATGCTCTTCCCTCTCTGTGAATAATATTTGTGATATCAAAATTTGTCAAAACAAAAAGTTTAGTGTGGTCAAGTTGGTTACATTTTCTGTTGTAAATGATTCACTATGTTTAGCAGGAAAACTACAGCAAAAAAACGATACCAAATTAACATTTAGGTTGCTATTTTCTCTCAACCAGGGGTTATTATCTATAGCCCTGGGTGTATGGGAACAAAACGATAGAGCTGAAAGACTGTACCTCTGAATAATAAAAAATGTGTTAGATGAGATTCTATTGAGGCAATTCATATTTTGGTTCTCTTCACAACTATTTATTTCTGTGAAACAGGATTTATTGCATAAGAAAATGTTATTCTTGAAATTAACTTAAAGTACAGAAATTTACTTGATGTCTCAGTTGACATGAAGAAACATTGTAAGTAACTGTACCTCCGTTCCATGTTTTGATTGCACCGAAAGAGCAGGAAATCTCTCACTATTTGTAGTATTTGTGATTTGCCTTTTTATACTAGATGGCGTCTGGAGTAATTAGATGTAAAAGGACGCATGTCCATTTACATCTGGCTGCCCATTGGACTTCCATTCAGGGCCACCTGAAAAATTGACAGGCAGCCCTAATATTTACTATGGATATGCTTGATTTTTACTCCATAAAGAAGTAAAATCTGCTCTTTCGTAATACATATAGGTAGGGATGCACAGATACTTTTTGAGTACCAGTGCAGATACTTGGCATTTTCATGAGAACTATCAGGGTTGCAGCGGTTGCAGCTGGGACCTGGCTCTGGCACTCTACCACTGTCCTGAAATCATTAGTCTGTATTGATTTAGAAAAACTGTCACATGACAATAAACAAAAATGTATCAGTACTCATACTTGTAAGTACTCGGCAAGTACCAGTACTCGTACTCGCAAAACTGCTATCTGTGCATCCCTTTATTTATATTTATAAAAACAAAATCGTACATTAAAACAGAGATGTACAAATCCCAGGAGCTCCGTGTGCTCCTTACAAATGACAGCTGCCTCCTAATTTTTTAATTTTTCTCTCGTTTAGTCTTGGAGCTCAAAAGTATCGGTACATGTACTCGTACTTGTACCGAGTACTGTACCTGGTATCTATGAAACCCTACATATAGGTCTCATCAATCATCCTTATTTCTAACTTTTAAAGGACTCTGGGTTTGATTTACTAATAAAAATAGACTTCACTCTGCAAGTGAGTTTTCCCATAGCTTAGTGAATGTGGTGAAAATTCACTTTGCAAAAATTAACCAATCACTTGCCCAATTTCCCAATTCAAGGAAAAAAAACATTATTTCACTTGCACATAATTGGATGATGGAAGTCAGCAAAGTTTCACCTCAATTCCTATGCTAAAGGAAAATTTCCTTGGAAAGTGAACAGCCTATTTGCCTTTTGTAAATCCACCTTCTTCACCAACTTGTGGGATAAGATTATAACAGGATTCTTCATGAAAGTAAAGCAGCAGTCTCTATACTACGCTCACACATGGGATGCTTGCCATATCATACTCTGTCATAATTTAAACTAGTAGTCCTTAAAAGGATGTTTTAGAAAGCAACCCTAATTGATAAAACAAGGAAAGGCAAAATCTTCTCTGCACCACGCTCTAAACCTGTTCTCCTTAAAATGTGGGTATTGTACATGAAAGGACATCAAAAAGGCTGTTTTAGAAAGATTCATTTTTTTTTTAGAAATCTCAGTTTAAAAAAAGTATCTTTAAACTCACTATGACAGTTGCAACTGGAAAAAATAAACACAAACACGATTAATTATAAAGGTTACTCGAATGTGTGTATATAAACGAGGAATTATTATTATTTTAGGACGCATCTCCATCACTACAGAGTATCTGCAGTTGTTTTAGGGCCAGGAATATCTTTTATCTTTAGGTATATTTATGAAAGATCTGCACATGCAATGGGGTTGATTTAAAGTTAGTCAATCCAAGCGGTCATCACATTAACTATCAAATTTTGTAGAAGTGATATTCCAATCCTTTAGATATGGCTGGATAATTATAAGTACAATTTTACCGATCACACTTTCTTTTCTTTACTATATTGACCCCCGATGAGTTCTAAATGTATGTACCATTCTACACATTTCTACAATGAGAGTGTCTAAGTAAAATGAATACACAGACTGCATCCTATTAGTAAGAAAAGGCAATAAGAAATGGTTGTATCTAATTAGATTTAAATAAGTAACCGCAGTGTTTATTTCTGTCTAGACATACTCTCCTGACATTTCACTAATTTCCCAGTGTGATCCCTGCAAATCAGAGAATAGTCCTGAAAACAAGAATTATTAAGCTACTTGTGCTTAAACTGTTTTTGTTTTATTGCTCTAAAGTAATGTTCTTCTCAAATACATATTTTAGAAGCGAAATAGTCATGCACTGTTTACCACTAACATCATTCAGTTAGTAATCTTTTACTCCCAGACTGTAGGTCCTGATGATCATGTGTTCAGGGGTTGATACTGGCACACGTGTGACGTCACGCGTTGTTATAAGCAGGCAGAGAGAGGAGGGAACTTCACCCGTTGACCCAGCGTTATAAGGTATGCCGCTGGGTCCCTTCCTCTCTCCTGCAACTGTCGGGCTCTTGGTCAATGACCGAGTGCCCGACTTTTCAGGGGTGTTAGTCATTTTGGTGTCACCCAGGTGTGGGCCGCACTCCCCTAGTGACGCCACTGCATGTGTTAGAATAAATATAAAAGATGTAAGCGGTAGGCATAAATAAAATGTCCTCCCCAAATCCAATATACAATCAGAAACTCTTCCTGCTGTTCACTATACAATGTACAGGAAGCCACATCACTGCATCCTGGGAAAGTTACAATAGCAGAAATCTGGGAAAATCTCATCTGTAGTTTCACAGGCTCTCAGGGAAAGGCATTTTCCTCCTCTGAGATGATGTGCATGGTCACATGTCCTAGTCACATGTTCCAGAGTTCCAGGAAGTAAAGGGAGATCTGGTAACCTGCCCTTAGTTAAAATGGCCATTGTCCGAAGACTGGGGAAGAAAAGAAAAATAATGTATGCAAAAAATAAAAAGCAGTAATAATGTAACTATCTAGCATTATCTGTTTGTAGATTGTCATTACTAAACATTTCTAAAGGTGCCTTTGTTGTCATTTTGAATATATGGGTTCCTCTAAAGCCAAAAGATTTTTTGCACACCAAATAGATAAAGCCCCTGCCACCTATATGCCATTTGAGAGATTCTCCTTCACTTCCAGAATTGCAGACACAAAAAGTAAGGAAAAGGTCTCTAAAGGTGAGAGTAATTCAACATTTTTTCCACTGGAAATTCAGTCTGACACGAGGGTCAGACTGAAAACAGTTGCCCCCCTTCCTGACACCCATTGTGAAATGATCACAAAACACCAGCTCTGCCTTTGCACACAATACACTTTTTGGGGTGAGGGGGTGGGCTTGGTGCAAAGCTCAAAGAAAGATATAACACATTGTTTGCACAGCACAGAGGCGGCCATTTTCATGAGCATATGAAGAGGAAAGCTAACAAAAAATGTAAGTTTCTGTGTTCATATACATCAACTGCATATGTCTGCTTCATGTAGACTGCTGGCATGTTTTTAAAAAAATACTGCTGTAAAGGTGGAACTGCACGGAACATTGTCAGTAACTGTACATTCATTACATGTTTTGATTGTACAGAAAGTGCAGGAAATCTCTCACTATTTGTAGTATTTGTTATTTGCCTTTTACAAATACAAATAAATATGATGAGCCCTGATGATTTTCTTTCAGCTGTTCTGTTCCCAGCCATCCATATGTAAAGAAAAATCAAGCCATTGGCATCTTTCAAGATCATAGTAGTACCTAACTGGACTGGTGATGATGGTTTCAACGTGGGTATGGAGACATATTGGGCAATCCATGGAAGTTTCTAATCATCAAAAGTTTAGGAACCGTGCTCTAAACAATGTTGTATAAATTAGGTTTATAAAGGATCTTGCATTAAAATGTAACCAATTCATTTTTAAAATTATGTATTGATAATTTGTAAAGCAGAACTCCAGGCATACGTAAAAAAAACATACAAATTAATGCATTTATTAAAAAACACTATATGCATTTTTGAATGAAGTTAGTATGAGTACCTGAATTAGACTTGGTATTAGAAATGGTTTTTTTATTAATCCTTTTTATTAACAATTTTCATTTCTTGACAAAACATTACATTAAAAATACATTCAAATATCATACAAGCAATCGACCTACATACATTATCCCCAGAAAAAAAAGGGAAAAGGCAAAGGAGAGGATAGATAATACTATCAACACTTTCTACCCTTATATATATATATACATATATATACATACATACACACCCACACCCACATTTACATATATATATACATATACCCCTATACATACATACACCTACACACAAAAAAAGGACGTATTTCATATTTTATCCGTTGGCATATCATGTTTCCTTCAAAACCATAATCGTAATTTGTGTACATTTAAACATTCGTATATATTGTGATGTGCTATCAAAAGCAAATAATTAGTACTTTTAACATGTGTAAATTATTCTCTTCCCTAATAGTTTGTAAAAAAAAAGGGGGAAAAAAAGGTGTTTTAGTCCATATATATAAATACATACGTACCTATACACGCATTCATACACATTTATAAACAAACCACCCGCACGCATAGAAAAAAAAACTACCTGTATGTAACCCCAACCATATCTTATTTCCTATTATTGTGCATATTTAATACAGTAAAAACAATGAAGCGCCACTAACTATCAGTCCTCACTGGGAAATCTTCTCAGGCATACTGCAGGATGCTGCCCCAAAGAAGCCGGGAAAGCTGGGAATCTGGAAAGTAAACACAAAGGGAGCGCCTTTCCTAGTGCAGATCAATTTATTTCAATAAGCATGAAGTAAAAAGGAGATGAAATGGTACTCACAAACATGAGTGTTACACAGGCATGGAATGGGAGCTGACATGCAGTAAGGCATCCACTGGACAATTCCTGTGTGTGCTGACGTTGACGCGTTTCCCCAAACGTGTCAACGTCATCACGTTGACGTGTTTGAGGTTGAAGTTCGCTTTCAAGCAATCATTTGGTTAAATTTTGAAGTGCAGATCAAATTAAATGTTAAACCTAGTTTTAGTTCTACTAGTATACCCTTCCCCTCCCTCCTCCCTGAGAAAGAAAAAAAAAAAAAGAAACACCAACCCCCCATCAAACATATATACATAGTACCTCCTGACTTTATTCCTTGTTAGTACCTGCTTCTAACTGAGAGAGAAGAGGGTATTTAGATGATAGAGACAGCAAAATTGCTTGGACTGGATCTTCACCGCTAATATTGCCCCATCCTAGCATCTGTTGTAGTTGTGATGCTACAAAGTATAGTCTTGGTGAGGTATAGCTATACCCCCATTTTCCTTGGCCTTCTGTAACGTATTCAGTTTTATTCGAGAATGTTTTCTCTTCCAGATTAATTGCCTAAAAAGAGTATCTATTTTAGCAAACCATTTCAAATTAATCCAAATCGGTGAGTTATGCAGAACATATAATAGTTGTGGCGCCCACACCATTTTGATCAAGTTTGCCCTCCCTATAACCGTAAGGGGAAGTTTACACCAACTTTTACTTTTTTGCTTAAACCTTAACAGTAGAGGTTTAATATTTAATATTATATTATTTGGATAGTCTGTAATTCTTGCCGAGATCTCCACTCCCAAATATTTAAAAGTATCTACTATCTGTATCTGGGATGCAAAGGATGATATTGGTTCCGAAATGGGATCTAATGACAAGATTAGACACTTATCCCAGTTAATTCTTAACCCTGAAAGCCTGCCATAGGATGTGATTAAAGACATTAGAGCTGACAATGACCTTCCTGAGTCTCCCAAAAAGAAAAGTACATCGTCAGCATAAAGGCTGATTTTATCTTCATTGTCGCCTCTCTCAAATCCCACTATATCTTTATTCTGTCTTATTGCAATTGCCATAGGCTCTATTGCTAAAGCAAAAAGCAATGGCGACAGTGGACATCCCTGCCGGGTTCCCCTACTTAGAGTAAATGACCCAGAAATAAATGTATTTAGGCTAATACATGCCTTGGGTGCCGCATACAGTAATTTAACCCATTTAATAAAGGGGGGGCCCAAACCAAAGGCTTCTAATACCGACCATAGGTATGGCCACTCCACTCTATCAAATGCCTTAACTGCATCCAATGCTAGAATAATCCTGTTACCTGTGTTGTTTATTGGGATCTGCATGTTAAGGAATAAGCGTCTAATATTTGTTGCAGTAGATCTAGTTGGAATAAATCCAGACTGATCTACATGTATAATTTTATGTATAATGTTTGATAAACGATTGGCCAGCATTTTAGCCAATAATTTTAATTTTATCTTTACCTGGTTTAGGCAGCACAATAATCATTGCTTCTACCATAGAAGTGGGCAGTGAACCATCTTCAAACGCACGATTGAATACTGCTAATAACTCAGTTAAAAGCACTTGGCCATAATCTTTATAGATTTCAGAGGGTAGTCCATCTGCGCCTGGCGTTTTGTTATTTGAAGTGGATATTACCGCTCATAACTTGTCTGCAAGAAAATGACACTGCCGATATTAAAATACTAACTCCCCTAGAATACGAGGAGTGAAAAGCGTGTTTATATGTAAGTTTTGAAAGATAAAAGACATTTTCTTTGGTAAGGTGTGTTTCTTGCAGACAGACCACCGGAGTTTGATATTGTAGCAAAGTAGTGAACATAGCCTGTCTCTTAACAGGATTCCCCAGCCCTCTCACATTCCATGAGATACTTGGTATTAGAAATTAGTATCAAATTGCGAGAGGAAGGGTGATCACTAGGAGCCAATCAATCGCTGACGAAGTGCCCATGTGTTGGGAAGAAACATGCAATGAGCAGGTTTGCAGAATGTGCTTGACTAAATTGTAGCACAACTACAGCGGAAGTCAATGACCCAGCTATTCTGTATCTATTCTGTATCTTGATGACAAAAGCAAGGGTACAGAAATAAATCCTTTGGCAGGAAAAATCATTCCCATATACAAATTTCAACTCTGTGCTTAATGCAGTGCTGATCAACTTTGTGAATACAGGGGGCCTCAAGTGTGGCCCCTGACATGTCCTGAGGGCTGCAGGGTAATTTAATTTTCATTAATTTGTGCTGCAATAAACAAGTCATGTCTGATTTTAATGTGATAAAATTCTAAATGGCATTGGCTTTGCTTACGCAGTAAACGCAAGTGTCACCCGGAACTGTTTTGATGCATGTGGTATTTGATTTACCCTAGGATAAATTAAGTTATGCTTTTACATTGCCTCCAACCACAGATCCTACGAAGTGCTCGGCAGCAGGAGCAGAAGCTCACAATCTGATTAATATAGCTTCTAGGCTTAGTGCTAAACCCTGACTGTCACTGACAGCTGGCAGTTCCAGTGCTGAAGCTTGACAGAACCACTGTCACTCAGTGTGCAGCCCGCTGTGCTCCATTGCGGGTTATAGGTGTGGAGCACAGTAGGCCACATGCTGAGTGCTGGTTGATCACTTATTGGGCACCAATGGTTTAAAGTATAACTAAAGGCTAAAACTTTTTTTTACGTTTGAGTAGAACGTTGCAAGGTTAGAACCACTATCAGATTTTTATTGATGTCTGTGCCCCCTTTAAGGAGGCGTACTCTCTCTAATTGTCATAATCGCCAATGTCACTTGAAATCCAAAATTTTAGTTGCCACCAGAACAGGAATGAAGTTGAAGTCTTCCAATGGGGACACTTGTTCCAATGACAGCAAAAGCAGGATTTCCTTTTCCATAGGAAAGGAAACGCTTACTTCCTGTACAGTCTACAGAGCAGGAAGTGAAGGAATACCTCCCCAGTAAGACACAGTTGGCAAATAAAATCTGACAGCGGTTTTAACCCACCCTTCAGCCCCTTTCACATCAGTGCCATCCTTTTAGATCAGCAGGATGCACAGATCCCCTGCTGATTGGAGCAGTACAACATAGATGTCACTCTTGTGACCTCCATGTCTGTTCAGTTTTTCTCTCCATCTTGTGATAAAGGAAAAAAAATGAACTGTACACACCAATGTTAGGTCTATAGGGAGTCAGATGTAAGTGGACATTTGTCCATTTACCTCTGATTACCTCTACGCCAAAACAAGCAGACCTCTGTTCAATTTTTTTTTTCCAGACCTAGATGGAGTTGGGGATAATCGAATGTAAACAAATGCATGTCCATTTACATCCGGCTGCCCATAGAGTCACATCAGGCTTCCATTGATGTCCACCTGAAAAACTGACCGGTAGACCTGATCAGGCCCACCTATCTGACAGGGGCCTTACTCTTTCCAATATTAAGAAAGAAGCTACTTGCATAAACTTTAACATACCATGTATCTAGTAGTAATTCAGTAACAAATCTCTATACAGCAGCTGCCATATATGTACATAACATGAGATAAATTATTCCAAATTACAAAGGGCTAGTTCTCAGTAGTGTTCCTGCTAAGCCCAAGTATAAGTGATCATGGACCCAATGACTTACCTGACTCACTGAAATACAAGTAACCTCCAATGTACTACCTCAAATTGTCAACATAGCACCAAAAACTTGTATGCAACAGGTGTGTTTTATGGTAGACAGAAGATGCTAGTTGTAAGCACAAGCCCTAGGAGTTTTGCAGTAGAAAGGAAACTTTATTTCCCTAAAATCTTTTCTATCACCAATATGCCTAAAACTGCCATGTAAATATTAAAGTAGATATAAACCCTACCTGGTCAGTTTTCACCCTTTTTTTGCATCTCATGGCTGCTGATCTCCTCCAGCGTCTTTCAGACCCTTTCAGTCTACATTTATACCTGCTCCAATATAAGCTGTACCCTATTGCTCTGGACAAGAATCCTGATAGTGATAACCGTTGGCCATGCCAGCATAATGTGAGTCAGCTCAGTCACTTGTAGTCTCCACCAGGTTTGAGAGGTTGACAACACAGGAGCACAACTCAGGAAATATTTGTCACCCTGTAACAGAAAGTATCTGAATAAGGGTTTTAATGGCAGGATCAACACATGTTTGTGTGATAAAATTTGCAGATTTAAAAAGCCAACTTGGGAATTTACATTCACATGTTAAAGCTTATATCAGATTTTAGTATTTGGGTTCAGATCTCCTTAATCAGTTTATTTAGGTTTATGGACCTTTTAATTTTGATATTCCTGTTTAGATTTGTGGTCCTTTTAGGGTTTTTAGTGTGGCTTCTCATACCTTTTAAATTTTTAGTCTTTTCCTTGCTCTATTCATGGCTTTTTTAACCTCTTGATTGCGTAAGGTGTAGATGACAGGGTTTAGCAGAGGAGTTACAATTGATGGAAAGATGGAGAGTATTTTATTTAAATGCAGCAGATCGCCTGCATTGGGTCGGACAAACATGAAGATAGATGTACTATAAAACAAAAGAACGACAGCAAAATGAGAGGCACACGTAGAAAATGCCTTGTGTCTACCCTCCGAAGATGGAAACCTCACCGTGGTTCTAATGAAAGAGATGTATGATACGATAATAACCAGAAAACAGCCCAAAATGACAAAGCAAGCAGTGGCAAAAAAAAGCTTTTCTACGTCTGATGTCTCGGAGCACGACAGTTTGACCAGTGGGGCAAAGTCACAATAATAGTGATCAATTTTGTTCTGGAAGCAAAATGGTAGATTGAAGACTTGCAGACTGAAAATAATGATTACATTAAAGCCAAAAACCCATGAACCCAACAGAAGTTTAACACAAACATCGGGATTCATGATAAGCAGATATCTCAAAGGGATGCAGACAGCAACATAGCGATCGTAGGCCATGATAGCAAGGAGAAAATTTTCAGGTAGGCCATGATAGCAAGGAGAACATTTTCAATTGCACCAAAGGAAAAGTGGAAATAAAACTGAGTCATGCAACCAACAAAAGATATAGAATCTTTTTTTGTCAGGAGAGCCCAGAGCAGTCTAGGAACGGTGACAGAAGGATACCAGATCTCTAAAAATGATAGTTCACCAATGAAGAAGTACATAGGCTTATGGAGACACATATCAGTTTTAACAAGGATGATGATGAAGATGTTAGCTGAGATAGTAACTATGTAAATGGTAAATATAAGAAGGAAAAGAAAAAATCTTGATTCACCCAAGACAGAAAAACCCAGAAGAGTAAATTCTAGAACAGCGGTTTCGTTCTTCATTTCAGTGTGGAGTTCTGGTTTCTATACGTGATACAAATGTATTCATTAAAAGTTTAGGTGTTGAACACTGAATGTAATTTACTTAGTAAATTACATTTACCCTTACTACTGAACAACGAACAGTAGCAAGGTGTAGAAAACAAAGAATGGAATGGGTCATGTGATCAGTTGTCGCTTACGAATAAGAAATGGTCAAATTACGATTTTTGTTCCCTTGCACACACAACTTCCACACAAAATTAATCTTCAATAAAATCTGTTTTCTTGTGGCTCAGAGAATAAGAATGATCCTGACAAAAGAAAAATGACAATTTAAAAAATATGAAGCTCTCAATAAAATGAAGTTGGTTCATGCAATGCTAATTAAGTACATCAGTAGTGACTGATATTAAAGTAATATGGAGCACACTTAACCTTTTCTTGATCAGAAGTTGTTAATGTGGAGATGCTGAAGTCAAATTTAAAGGAGTTGTAAAGTCCCAGCATATACAGGTGAAACTCGAATAATTAGAATATCGTGCAAAAGTAATTGCAGTAAGTGCTGCAAAAGGGGCCCAAACCAAGTACTGAGTACATATGCATGCTTGTACTTTTCAGAGGTCCGATATTGTTCTATGTACAATCCTTGTTTTATTGATTGCATGTAATAATCTACTTTTTTGAGGTTGTGGATTTGGGGTTCTTGGGGTTTTCATGAGCTGTAAGCCATAATCATCACAATTATGACAAATCACGGCTTGAATTATCTTGCTTTGCATGTAATGAGTCTATCTCATATATTAGTTTCACCTTTTAAGTTGCATTAGTGAAATAAATGAACTTTGCACGATATTCTAATTATTCAAGTTTCACCTGCACTATTCTGTTATAACAGCATTGTAATAGAAATACATACTAGAGTTGTTTTTAATAATGCAACCAAAGCTAACTGTAAAAAAAAAAAAAAAGAAAAAAAAAAAAATCGCTTTTATTTAGTGCTGCCTTCTGTCTGCCCATCACTTTCAATAACTTCCTGGATGCCCAATGTGCTTTGCATCTTTCCCTGCTGCTTGATGGGATGTAGTCTTGATTTCTCAATGTGGCATTCTTGAGTTCTATAATATTGCATTGTTCAGACATTGATTTGTAGTTCAGACAGCAGGCTTAAAGTGGTGACCCAAGGAAGTGCATATTCACAGGGCTGGGTAAAACTGTGTCCGTACATTTAGGAAATAAAACCTATGGACATCTTCAAAGAGTAAGTTTAAAAACTTCTAGATCAATATGGTTATTATGAGTGGAATAGAACTCAAGGAAATTCAGTATAGAAATACTTATTTTTATTTTTTGACCATAGAAACCCTTTAATTTGTCAGCAGAGTCCTTAAAACATGTACAGATGCACATTCCTAGTTCTCTGCTGCAATATCATCCAACATTCTCATCACATGAGGACTCACATAGGATTATTATGGTCACAAAGTTTTGAAAGCACTCTGGTTAGCAAAAAAAAACAAAAACCTGTCTCAAATAAAAACAAAAATACATCTACACATCATCACCCCCTCTCCTGCTACCAATCCTGCATAGATCCCACACAAAAAAGTGACTTTGTTTTAAACAAAGCCCCCCATGTGACAAGGTTGGGGCCAAGTGATTGGCAATAAACAGTGTATTGTGGGAGGGCAGGTGAGCGGTCAAATCAAACCTGAATTTTAAACCTGCTTAGAGTAGAAAACTCTGCAACAGACAATAGTGCTAGCTAATATTTTGGATGATACTTAGTACACACTGTGGGTTTTTTTTGGGGGGGGATGGAGACAGGTTACCTTTAAAACAAATGTTGGCTAGAAAAACCTGTAGTGAAATGTAAATCTCCATTCCCATTCAGCTGTAATTATATTCCACTATTTTATCAGATTGCATGGTGTGCAATGGTTAGTGATATATGTTTAAAAAAAATGTACCAAAGGGGGAATAGTGTGCCGAAATTCGATTGCGGACATGCTGAGTTTTTTTGTGAGTTTCTAAAACTAAAATCTCTTCTCTTCTCTGTAATATGGCAGCCAGGGGGTGATCTGTAATCTGTATGTGATTGGCACAATGCTTTTCCAGGAAGTCTGCACTGAGTTATAACATCCTTCGCATTTTGGCGAGATATAGCAGGACTCATCCATGCCTAAAGTGTTGTGAGCACTTCAGCTTTCATTATTTAATTTGGTAATTAGCATGAAGGCAGAAAAAAAAAACATTAGCTAGATAGATACTCCAATTGTGGATTAATTGTATCAGTCACATTTAAGATTGAAATCTGATTGATAGCCAAGAAAATTACCTTATTTCTGGTGTTTTTTATATGTGGCTTTGTGTGTGTAGAAAGCATGGAGGTGGTTGTTCCAGCATCACCAGCAGACATGTTCCAGGATCGCCAAATACAGACAATTCAGGACAGGGTAGACTAGTGCAATGCAGCTATGTCTGGTTAAAATGTTAACCTACTCAGCAGGAAGGATATGCTATGTGTATGCATTCCTAAGACTGAATTTTAATTAACGGAAATGTATCTTCAAAGTCTCCAAAAATGAAGGGATTTATTCTATAAATCAAGCTCTCTAATAGAAACTCTATTATCAGAGAACTTGACAACCTAAGGTGTGATAAATTAAATCTGTTTAAAATTAAAAGTATTGGAACAACATAGACAGGAGAATAGTGAAGTTATGTTCTGTCACATAAACACAGCCCATGGCAGGTGGTCTACAATAGGCAAAAGGATTTAATTGCACAGGTATAAATATCTATTCATTAGGGCATTTGGGGAAAAAACATTGTGCAAATTAACATCCTACAATTTCTGTACCTTTGGGAACAATACCCAGTACACTTACTAAATTAATTGTTTGCAAACACTGAATAATGAATCCCAACACAAGAAACAAGTTCCAGGCAGACCTGGTGATATAATGTATCTAAGTGAATGAATTCAAAAAGATGGAATGAATGATTGAAAGCATCTCCAGTTGTACAGCTGTTCCATCATCAATGTCATTGTGTACAATGCAGTGCCTGCAGTCCTGCATTGTACATGAGTACATTGAGGGTTGCCCACATTTCAGGACTGGACCAAAGAAGAGTTCCAGCTGGGTGAGGGATATGATGAGTATTACTCTCAGTTATATTCCCCTAAATTAAACAACCCTTAGGGATGTATTTATAAAAAAAAAAAATTGAAATGCAGATTAATTCATCCTGTAAAACTGCCATGTACATTTGTTCTGTGTGAATGGGGCAAAACTAACAGGGTTATTCACAAAAGGGTGAGGAGTTTGGAGAAGGCAGGAGAAGTGAACAATCTAGGACGACATAGCCGAACTGGAATTGAGCTGAATTGTGATCGTCCCTGTGTGCTGTAAAGTAGCCACCACTCCAAACTCACTACTGTGATAGGCTACAATCTCACATTTAGCGAGTTTGGAATGGTGACTACTTTACAACACACAGGGACCATGGGGAAGAAAAGTAGCCACCCTCCAAAAGGAAGGACAGCGTCAGTACTAATTCAGAGATGATTTGAGGACCTACAACTGAGTGATACACAAATAAGATACATTTTTGTTAATATATGTAGGGTACTTAAATGCATTTTTTAAGATTTAACTCCTGAGTTAAGTGCCCATGCGGTTTGGGTTATGTCGGACAAACAAACCAGTCGCCATCCTATTGATATACAAATAAATTATGAATTATCTTCACCAGTAACTCGGCATGTACCGCGTTCATGAACGCTTCTGTTCGCGAACAATTCAGTTCGCAAACAGGAACTTCGGCAAAATTTTGCTTCCATTCGCGAACTCCACATCAGGTGACGAACACAACCGCAGCCATCTTCCCTGCTTTGACACAAGGTCGTGGCTTCCTCTAATCAAGATCGCGGTCTGATCACAGTTTGATTCGCGACCAATTTGGTTCGCAACCAGAATTGTGGAACGAATTAAGTTCGTGAACCGACGTACCACTGTATTTTTTGTAATTTCTTGCAGTGTCTGCTCTATTTGACTGTCTACACTAGACCATTGCAACAATATGTTGCCGTTTCCCCAAAACCCCTCCTTACCCATTTTGTACATATGACATTTTACATATATCATGTTTTATATGTAATCTGTGTTTTTTTATCGTACTTTTATGATGCTCATTTTGGCTGTTTGTATACAGCACTTCAAGACAAGTCAGGCTGCCAGTCCCACTAATACAAAGATTGCTGCTGCCATCATTAGAGTGCATATATTTATATGTACACATGGCTGAATACATCATACGTCCCCTCTTCATGCCTACTCTGTTGATTTGTGGCTGTGGGGAGGAGATTAACAACAGTCACAAATAGAAAATCTACTGCTGTTTCACTGCAAAACCAGCATCATGGCTGCGCTCTGTATGAATTATGCATTTGAAAAGTAAAGATTTTATATAAACAAACAAAATTACATAAAACAAAAATAAAATCAACATCATTATAATTTCCCTTTAAAATGGCTAAGAGTCACTGAGGATTTTGATGCATTCATCAAAAGGAATGATTTGATAAATCCTTACTACTAATCATTTAAATATTCTCTATTTCTTTAATGTTACAAATAAAACAAGATTTCTTCATATCAAAATGTTTTCCTAATAATGCAGCTGGGATTTTAGATATGCAATAAATAATTATTCACATGAGAAATAAGAGACTCGTTAAATGTATCTATTTTTTTTTTCTTTCAGTCTAATGAGTTATTCCAGAAGATTAATTCCGTATAGTCCCAAACAAGCTATAATTTAATAGAACAACTGGGGAACCATTACACCATTGAAATCATGTGCTCCCGATGCATTTGCTGTGCTGAGAAACGTAATTGCCCTCAGGAGCTTTCTAACGACAAATTGACAGAATGTGTACTTGAATGAAAAATAGCAGACAATGCTACATAGTATTTGAGGTTGAATAAAGACATATGTCCATCAAGTCCAACCTATTGTTTGTATGTGTATGGTCCTACTGATGTGTGCGTATGTATAGGGCATAGATGAGGTGGTGTGTACGTGGATAGAGAACTGGCTACGGGAACGGGTCCAGAGGGTATCTGTAAATGGCACCTTTTCAGACTGGGCTAGTGTAATGAGCGGTGTGCCTCAGGGTTCTGTGCTGGGTCCCATATTGTTCAACTTATTTATTAATGACATCGGGGAGGGTGTTAACAGCGATATTTCCGTGTTTGCGGATGACACCAAAATTGGGAGGGTAATAGACACGGACTTAGACACTATAACATTACAGGAGGACCTGGATAAAATAGGGGAGTGGGCATTAATGTGGCAGATGAGGTTTAATGTCGATAAATGCAAAGTAATGCACTTTGGAATTAAAAATAAACAAATGGGTTATACAATTATGGGTGTGCCGCTAGGGAAGTCAGAAATGGAGAAGGATTTGGGGGTCATTGTAGACCACAAACTGAAAGGTAGTTTGCAGTGCCAGGCTGCTGTAAACAAAGCTAGCAGGGTCTTGTCCTGTATTAAAAAGGGGATGTGTCGCAGGGACAAGTCTATAATTTTGCCACTTTATAGATCATTGGTTCAACCTCATCTGGAGTACTCAGTCCAGTTCTGGTCACCAGTACTAAGAAAAGATCTAACCAAACTAATTAGGGGTATGGAGGACCAGAGCTACAAGACAAGGCTACTAAATTTAAACATGTTCACATTAGAGGTGAGGAGATTAAGGGGGGATATGATCTCCATGTACAAAATGTTCAATGGTGGTAGCAACATTAGCGATAAACTGTTTAAAATTAACTCCGTTACAAAAACTAGAGGCCACCACCTAAAATTGGTGGAAAAAAAATTCCAGCACAAGGGGCGAAGGGGGTTCTTCACAGTAAGATCAGTTAGGGTCTGGAACTCACTGCCACAGACAGTGATTTCAGCAAAGAATGTGGAATTGTTCAAGAAACTTTTGGACGATTTCTTAAGGGACCGTAATATACAGGGGTACAGGTACTCCTAGAACTCCTAATAGGTTGGACTTGATGGACTAATGTCTTTATTCAACCTCAAATACTATAGGTCCCTGTGTGTTCTCATTCTTAAAAGTACTTGCACCCCTGTATATTACGGTCTCTGAGGAAATCGTCCAATCGCCTCTTGAATGATTCCATACTCTCAGCTGAAATCACAACATGTGGCAGCGAGTTCCAGACCTTGACTGATTTGAGAAGAAACCCCTTCGCCCCTTTTTTCTCCACCAATTTCAGGTGGTGTCCTCTCGTCCTTGTCATGGAGTTAATTGTAAAGAGTTTGCTGCTAATGTTGCTATCCCCGGTAAGCATTTTGTACATAAAAATCATGTCCCCCCTTAATCTCCTTACTTCCAATGAGAACATGTCTACATTCAGTAGCCTGTTCTTATATCTCAGGTCCTCCATCCCCTTTATGAGTTTGATCACCCTCCTCTGGACTCTTTCCAGTTCAAGGACATCCTTTCTGTTCACTGGTTTTCTGTTGACCGCTTACTCTAGATGAGGCCGAACCAGTGATCTATAAAGTGGCACAATTATAGACTTGTCACTGCAAAACATTCCCCTCTTAATACAGGACAGGATCCTACTTTCTTTGTTTACCGCAGCTTGACACTGCGAGCTGTTATTCAGACTGTGGTCTACAATGACCCCCAAATCTTTCTTATTCGCTTTCTTATTTTTAACCCCAAAGTGCACAACTTTACATTTATCTACATTAAACCTCATCTGCCATGTAGTTGCCCACTCCCCTATTTTATCCAGGTCCTCCTGTAATGTTATAGTGTCTGATTCAGTGTCTATTACCCTCCCGATTTTGGTATCATCAGCAAACACTGAAACATGTCTGTTTACCCCCTCCCCAATATCGTTAATGAATAGGTTAAACAGCATGGGGCCCAGTACAGAACCCTGTGGCACGCCGCTCATGACCCTAGCCCACTCCGAGAAGGAGCCATTTATCGATACTCTTTGTACCGGTTCCTGTAGCCAGTTTTCTATCCATGTACACACTATTTTGTCCATGCCCATAGACCTCAGCTTGTGTAGTAAACGTGTATGTGGTACCATGTCAAATGCTTTAGCAAAGTCCAAATATACCACATTCACTGGCCTCCCTCCATCCAGATTTCTACTTACCCCTTCGTAAAAATTTAGCAGGCTAGTCTGACTGGAACGGTCTTTCCTAAATCCGTGCTGGTTGTCATTTACTATGTCATTACCCCGAACAAATTCTAATAAGTGGTCTTCAATCATGCCCTCTAACACTTTACAAACTACCGATGTAAGGCTAACCGGTCTGTAGTTCCCCGGATGGCATCTGGACACTTTTTTGAATATTGGAACTACCGAAGGAGAGAAGCTGATTGGTTGCCATGCACAGCTGCTCCAGTTTGGACAGATTCCCCCATTGCCATCTTTGTGAAAGAGATGCTGGCACTCTACAATTTCAGCACTAGCTTCTCAGTTTGGATCTTTATTAATTTAATGAACTATGCCTGCAAAGCATTCCTTCAAATGCTCCAGTTTCTACTCACAATCCAACATTCGTATAGGGTAATGAGTATTTTTTATGTTTTGAGGGCCATAACCGCTCTAGGTGATTAAACTGCTTGCAAAATTCTTCCAGGCCAGGCCTGTAAATGCATTTTATACTCTGATCCATTCTTGTGGAGAGCTCTGGACTCGTATTTTGGACTAACTGGCATAACTGTTTCTCCGCCACATCCTCTGGTTCCTTCCTCTGACACTTACGCCCCTGCAGTGTTCAGTAGTGACGGAGGAAGGAACCACAGCTTGCAGGGGTGGGGGTTGAGACACAGGCATCTGACACCCCTGGAAGAGTCATAACAGAGAAAAGGCCGGTGACAGAGCACACTGGAGAGCTGAGTATACTGTCTATTTTTGCAGGAATCAGTTTTCGCCTCTCTTTCCTTTTAGTGTGCTAAAAACACCCATGCACAAAATAAAATAAACAAAACAACTTTAATTAATTTCTGAATATTTTCTCCATGCAATTAAGTAGTAACTATTTTGGGTTTGTAAACAGGATAAGAATACAGAACAAGAATACAGAACTAATTTATTATTGAAATGCCCTAAGCTTACTTGTATATCTAGTAGGTATTAGGCCAAATGAATATGTCTAGGGCTGAAGTGTGATAATGGCTGTGGAACTTATTTGGTTACAAATTATGTAACGATAAAGATTATGTCATTTACTGCTTACCAAACCAACACAGAAACCACAGGATCTCTCAAGAAAGACAACTGATAACGCTGAAAAACAGATGACACTCAACATTTATGTAACACAAGATAAATATTTGTACAGGTTTTCTCTGAATAACATAAATATATATATTTAAAAACACATATGCAGCACGGAGTTTTCAGAAATTCTCTTAATATTCTCCACTGACTTATTTTCGGCAGTGCCAAAAAAACGAAACAAAGGAAATCACATTTCTGTACAAAAATAATACAGTTAAAAAGGTACCACACACACATTCAGATATTTTTGGTCAGCTCAAACTTCTTTTTTTAAAACACATCCGCAATATTATCACCACTTAAAAACTAACACATTACATAAGGGCAGATGTGGCAATTAAAAAAAAAAAAAAACACAGCCAAAGGCAGTTAAGAATAGTTGTCTGGTTCAATAAAGGAAAATAAATGCTTCTTACCACTCTGAGCAGTATACCCACCAGGAAGGATTCTCTCCCATCACAGATCTATCAGAAGTGGCAGCAGGAAATGCTCAGATAAAATGTGTCCATTCAGATACCATGGTGTTCATTTAAGATCATTATACTCAAATGAACAAATCAGGAAACTGTTTCACCTGCACCTCCCCTTTTTATAAGGAGCTGAAGATACCGCAGTCTGCACAGAGTGGGAAGAGGTAGAATGGGGACTGTGGAAAAGCTGTTTAAGATTTTATATGAAAAATAATTGTTTAAAGGGAACCTACACTTTCCCCATTTAAGGCAAAGTAGCTGGTTTGTATGATAGCCATGCCTCTACATTGTTACCTTCACTTCCCCACCAAGGCTCACAGAAGTGTCAGATTGGCCTAGTTGGATTTTTCCCAGATCTAGGGAACCACCTTTACCTGATAACGTCAGGGCTTGGTGACGAACTGCTAAGGTACTGATCACTGCATTGTGGAAGGAAGGGAAACAAAAATCACAATTCCACCATAAACGGAAGCACTGAATATTTAACAGGCCTCCAGCAGGCGAATAGTATCCTGAGGGAGTACAGGAAGTATCAGCAGCAGAGGGGGGCTATCAAGTGAACCTGCTACTTTCCCCTGCTAAGCTACAGGTGGGTGCATTCTAAGCGGGCAAAGTTTTGGGACTTCCTGGAAGTAATGGAACTTTCTCACTCTATCACCCATATTTCTATTGGCCAATAGAACTGTGTTGGCCAATAGCAGAGAACGGGAAGGCTCTGACATTACCTTAAAGTGTCAGAACTCTGTAGCTCAGGTGTAGACGGGGCAACAAAGGATGCTGCAGGCACTTTATATTTGCACAACACAGCTACCAAGTCTATGGATAAATATGTATTACAATTCAGTTCAGAGCAGCTTGGGGTGACTAATGAATGCTGTTTTGATGTTGGTTGCCAGCGATTACTGCTGCTCCCAGAACTTTGATATTGAAAATAGCATTCTATTCACAATTTTTAAGTCTTTGTTTGGGAAAGTACTTTTAGGTAAGGATAATAAAGCTCAAGTGGCCACCACCACTAATAACAAGGATACGCTTTATACCATTTTCCTTGTTTTTAAATTCCTTGGTACATTAGGAAACATGGCAAATGGTTCTGATTGGCACATTATGTGGTGATAAGATGCCCGCTGTGCTATATTATCTGAAAGGTTGGCAGAATTACACAATTGTGCTTTCACATCTCAGTTCCTCTGTACTGAAGACATGCTTTTCACTGAGGCAGGAGGATGGTGAAATCACTTCTTGAAGGACGGCTCAGTACAGACTGGTCTTCTTCATTATTCTGAGGAACTCCTGTTCATTCACTTCCCCGTCTCCATCCCGGTCAGCTTCATCAATCATTTCCTACAGGAAAATAAAAGGATGAATGAAAATGACAAAGCTGGTAATGCAGTGTTGGAAGCAATGTTGGGCAGGTCAACCTATGGGCCTCTGTTAACAGACTTCTGTTCACTTCTAACTAGTTCTGCATCCCCATACAATTCTATGGGCAAGCGAAATCCGCTTGAAGCAAGTCAAATGCAGATCAGAAGGTGGTCAACTGCAGGTCAAAAGCAAATCAGCACAAGTTGTTGAATCTTATATGAAATTCGGGAAACCCGAACTGGGCAGCAAATGCTTTTGAAGTCTATTGTACGAACAACCCTGCTGTTAAATTCTGGCCGTCTTCAAAAGCAAACAAATTATTGTCAAAGAAGGGCATGGGGAGCGAAACCGTGCCAGGGGGCACATTTAATAAATCAAAACATTTTTTTAAATATCATACAGTGAGGAGAGAGTCCTTTTAATGCTACTTTGAGGGCAACATGAACAAAACACCAAACCTGTAAAAGCATCTCCCAAGTATGTAATTTACAATACTTGGGAGATGGTTTTAGGTTTACAAATAACCTCTAAATCCTCGAATACGATACATTAGCTTTTGTATTTGTTCTTTCAAGCTCAGAGTGATGCGCTACCCGAAGGTCCCACGTTATGCGAACATTAACCCACAAATAAATGTAACCCCTTGTTAGTACGCTCACCTTTTTTTTGTTGGGATCCCCTGTAACAATAAGAAGCCCTTCCTGCACCAAATAATACGCGTGATGACATCAATTGTTTCACTTTAACAGTAGAAGAACCAAATGCAACATCTACTTGTTTCTCCACTGCACAGTTATGCTAAAAACCTGAACTTTAGGCAGATGTATTGATAAAAAAATGTATCTTTGAAATCCATTAGCCTAAAAACCTGAAATAGCCATGATATTGGGCTTCTGTAAATCTCTGCACAGCAGGACACAGAGTGGGTGAGGGGTGGGGAGGCAGCAATAGGAGCCAATGAAGCTCTGCTCCAGTACACATGTGCTGAGAGGGAACATACTGACCCTAGGAGACAGCATAGTGAGCAGACGGGTGACCTTATCAGTCTTCTGCTGTTCCTTCATTGTCCAATCAGCATTCAGCAGCATGTCCGGGTCCCGCTACAGTGGAGGTCCCAGGACTGACTATGCTGTTTAGCAGCAGTTTATTGTTCACAAGACTGGCTCTGGAAAATTAGAAATCCTTTAGCCGGTAAAACAGTTACAATGTGTATTTCAGCTGTGTCATTAGGTGTTCATCTGAAGTTCTGCTTTAACCAGTTGACATCCGCGGTGTTAAACCCACCTTCCCATCCAGGCCATTTTTCAGTATTCAGCGCTGCGGTACTTTAACTAGCCTCAAAGTTCTCTTTTACATACAGAAATGTAAATACCTATGTGTTAAAATATATTGAATAACATTCTATCTTTCCTCTACTAACATTATTAGTGACTCTCCTTACAGACTGCTTAACACAACAAAATAATAAGCTGTTAATGTGCAGAGATCATATGTGCCGATTCTGCTAACTGCTGCTCTCTGCTGGATGAACTTAGTTACTACCATCTTACCAAAATGTTGAGTACCAGGAAAAGTAGTTATTATTATACAGGATTTATATAGTGCCAACAGTTTGCGCAGCGCTTTACAATATAAGGAAGACATTACAATCACAACACAATTCAAGAAAAGATGGTAAGGAGGGCCCTGCCCCTGACTGCTTACAATCTAAAGCAGCTAACCAGAGATGATGGGAAATCAAGTTAATAAACAAAAAAAGTTCCAAATCATTAATCAACCATCTGACAACAAACCTGCAGCTCTTCATCGGTCAGATTCTCTCCAAGCTCCTTTGCAACTCTTTTAAGATTTTTAAAAGATATCTTTCCAGTTTCATCATCATCAAATAACCGGAAAGCCTTCATGATCTCTTCTTTTGAATCTTTCTCAGCCTGGAGGAAAAGGGGATTTTTAAATCAATAGCGAATAATGATTCAGTCATAAACCAAGTGATCTCAACAGGCATTAGTTTAGTTGCTAAACCTACAGTAAGAAGATGGCAACTATGCAAATTGATTAACGGGAAAAAAGGCGTGACGTGTAGGGTCCTCCTCTTTTTCACCTGGAAGTGGGTGGTCCTAGATCGTGGTGGGCAACTCCGGCCCTTCGGCTGTGCTTTAACTACAAATCCCATCATGCTTCTGTGACCTGTGGCTGTCAGTCTTGCAATTCCTCATGGGACTTGCAGATCCACAATAACCGAGGGCCGGAGTTGCCCACCCCCTACCTTAGATGATGCATAGAGCAGCGGTGGTGTGATGACACCAACTGATCTCTGTCACTAATATAGAAAATAAACTGCCCCTTGCAGCAAAGACATGAAATGCTCACCATTCCTATTGATCTCTGCAAAAGTGAAGAGAAACCATTATCTGATGACTTTACAGAATTCGACACATACAGGATTCCTGGTGCACAGTTGACCTCAGTGGTTCGTTCCACAGGCTTCTTCGTCCTGTAGTGATATAGGGGCCGACAGCAGAAACCACAGTGTGTTGCAGGGGACCAGGAATTCTACAGCAGTTAATCTTTAGTCAGCAGTTTCTCTTCACTTCTGCAGAGACCAGCAGAGGGTGAATATTCCTTATCTACTTTACAGAAAGCATCAAGTGTTTGCAGGACAGGTTAGTATTCCACATTAGTCTTCTCCACAGACAGCCGTTTATTTTGAGTATTTATTAAAATAAAAGTCACTTTAAGCAGAAAACCTTTTTCACAACAAAATGATCAAGACAATTCCAGCACTGACATCATATCGTAATATAACATTTCTGTGTCCAGCAAACCTGATCCCTACACAAATGAAAGCTAGAATGCAACTGCTCGCTGTGGATACAGGAGATCCTTTGCGTTGTGAAAAGGTTTTCTCTCTCCATTGAAGTCAGTATGTAGTACTCACCATCTTCTGGGTCATCGAAGACATGAAGTCATTGAAGCTGATTTTGCCGGTCCCCTCCTTATCAATATCGGCAATCATCTTCTTAATTTCCTCTTTCTTGGGCTCAAATCCAAGGGCTCGCATGGCTACCTGTAATGGTTCTATTATGTTAGCATTCAAGGTATAACATTTTAAAAAATACATTCTGTGCTAACTATAGTTTATATAAATGCTCACACTTATAGTGCCCTATATACATCAGAGTAATATATTCAGTTTCAGTACAACACATTGAAACACATCATTTTCATCACTTTCAATAGATTTATTCCAAACTTATGCCAACCTATGATTTGTTTTTCTGCCTGTTTCAGGCTGGCTGCGGTGCAATGCCGCTCAGTCTTTAAAGTGACAATAAACTCAGGAGTTAAATGAGAACTATGACGTGAGTGCTTTTCACTCATCCTCATAGTTCTAGCCAACCTGTGACAATGAGACTGTCACAGGTCGGCTCAGTAGATCGGGAGGTGAGCGAACACATACCTTAGTGTAAAGGAGATTGTACAATCAGATTGTAACATGTGTGGTGAGCTGTAGGCTTAATAAAACACACATGCCAATAGAGGGCTGTATTTGTCATAGAGACAAAATCTAGCGCAGGAAGTAAAAGGGTGAAACACCAAACATCAAATTGTACAAGCTATATTAACTTTTACTGTTTCCTTGATCAGCCTGGGACATTTGGGGCTAAATTCAGCAATAGAATGTGAATAATGGGTCCAGGAGATGTGGAGTCAGAATCTTTATAGTTCAAGAAACATAAAACATCTCTTATTTCTGTTGTTTGATGGTCTGCAACGAGGTTCGAATCCCATGTTTGTGCTGTGACTCAGATCCATCATAGTACCCCCTTACATTGGCTGTCCCCATCAGAGTGCCCCCTTACATTGGTTATCTCCATCATAGTGCCCCCTTACATTGGTTATCCCCATCATATTAGTAGCTAATGTAAGGGGGCACCCTGATAGGGCTCTCCATCAGAGTGCTCCACAACTTTGGTGGTCCCCATCAGAAGGCCCCCTTACATTAATTGTCACCTTCAGTGTGTCCCCATATCTTTTCTTATCAGGCTAAGAATGAGAGCTGGTAGGCAAAGCAGGCTGCAGGTCTGGGCAGAAGAAGTTACTCCTCTGTACCTCCTGTGATGCTGGGGACGGGGCATGTAGGTGACATCATTGGTTGCGAGGACGCTGGTGGTCCGGATGCACCAGTTTCAGAGTCTCTGAGACAGTCACATCCACTGTCAGCAATAATCTAGCATAGATGTAATGATCGCAGTCCAGACAGAACAGTCACTCTATCCGTGTCTAGACCGCAGTTTGTCATTAGGTGATCCCTGCTCTACACTAACAGCAGAGTAAAGCTCCCTCTATGACCAAAACTCATATTTGCCATTTATGTTTTGCTATGCTGCTCAAATGTTTCTGTATTACATACCCCTGTTCATAACACTAACTAAGATGATTTTGTTATATAAATCAACAATAATTAGAATTAATAATAATGACAACTATAAAATAAACAGCTAAGAAAGAGATGAGAGACGCGACTGAATGTTAGATAGATGAAAATGAACTCTCAGCAGTCGCAGAATACATTATGTGATATTTGTACTGAGCATGTATATCTGTGGAACTCATGTGTACTGAAGACGTCACCTTTAGTTCCTTCACATCGATGGTTCCTGTGCCATCAGTATCGAAAAGATCGAAGGCCTCTCGAATCTCCTGCTTCTGCTCCTCAGTCAGTTCCGGCTTTGGGACGACCTTCTTCCTCTGAGTTGGCACTATTAATGATGGTTTCTTGTAGTTGGAAGCCTGCATGTCAGCAAAATGAATACACAACCAACAATCGAGGAAGATGATGTGTTACACTTTTATTTTTGCTGATTTAGATTCAATATGAAGAAATTTTCTGTCCTGACATGTAATGTTTCTTTCCATTCAGTCTGTCTGAAGCAACATTTAATATGCCTTAAAGGAGAACTATGGGGTCAGTGTTTTTCCCTATAGTTCTCCTTGGGGTAACGGGAGGACACAAACTACCGTCCTCCCGTCACCCTAAGCTCGGTATACCGCGAGCTGTACTGAGACGCCGCACCTGGAGCGGATCCCGACTTAGATGACGGGATCCGCCAAGCTGCGTGAGTGACAGCTGGCTCTGCCTATCTAGAGGCAGAGCCAGCTGTACCCGCCCCCTCCCCCGTCCGTTCCGCCAGTCAGCGCTGGCAGATCGGAGCGGGGAGAGGGGAATCCAGCCCCTCCCCCTGTCACGGCAGAGAGCCGTGACAGGATCGAGAGGTGAGGGAACCCGGTATGTTTTCCCTCACCTCCCGATCTACTGAGCCGACCTGTGACAGTCTCATTGTCACAGGTCGGCTTAGAACTATGATGTGAGTGGAAATCACTCATCTCATAGTTCTCCTTTAGGCAGAGCCAGCTGTTAATCCCGCAGTTGGGTGGATCCAGACAGTATTGTCGGGATCCGTCCCGGCTGCGGCGTCTCAGTATACCACGAGCTGTAGCTCGAGGTGTACTGAGCTTAGGGTGACGGGAGGACGCTAGTTTGTGTCCTCCCATGACCCTTAGGAGAACTATGGGGAAAAACACTGACCCCATAGTTCTCCTTTAAAGCAAATGCTACAAACGGTAAAGTGAACTTTTGCCATAATGTGGACACATACTTGCACATTATGGCGCATTTACCTTACAAGTGTGTTCTCCTGCAGTGCTGACCCATCTAGTTTTGCCTGTAGATAAAAAACTGTATTTTTTTAAGGGCGGGGGGGGTTTTGAATAAAGTTGGGGATTTAGAGCTCACATCTTTCTCTGTCCCCACTAGGTAGATTCATCCTTCCTTTTTGTCCTTATGACCACTGTCAGCCAGTATTCCCACCTGAGCGTTCCAGGAATGTGCATCTCGTTTGCGCAGTCGTGCGCTGAATTTCCCGCACGTCCCCATTGAATTCAATGGGGCCTGAACGTGCGACAAACGCGGCACAAACGCTCACATAGCAAATTTTGCGGCACATGTTCTACATTTTTGCGTGCAAATGCTGAGGAAAAACACACGTTCCTGGCCGTGATTGGGGTGCCATTCGAAATGAATAGCAAAACAAGCACGTTTCATGATTTGCAGCATTTCTGTCAATGTGCGCGGTTTTGTGTGCGTTTGCCGCTCGTTCACAGAATGCTCAGGTGTGAATGCGGGCTTAGGAAGACAGAAAGTAATAAGAATTCAACATTTTGGAGATATCATCAGAACGAATAGTGAAGATAAATCTTGCAATGGGGACACATGATGGCCAAATATTGTGTACAATCTCCATATATATCATACATTCTCCTCATTCTTTGACATGATTCCCCTATGTGATCATTTGCAGTGCAGGGATAAGCTAACCATGGTATCTACAGTAATATGTGATGACAGCAGCCTATGTGAACCAATCTTGCTGCACCTGGATGTTGACTTTGCAAACCAATCAGAATCCTTTTTTATTAGCCAGCTGCATGTTTACTAACACAAGGTAAAACCCAATTGGTCCTTTTCTTCTCCAGTTTAAAAAGGCCCACCATACCATCTCTGCCCTGTCAATCACTGGGCCATGCCATGCATCTGTACAACCACAACCTGCTCATAGATTACCATTACACATCACTCACCATGTTGCACAGGCCTGCTATTTCTCTTCCGCTGCCCACCCGCCTCCTCCTGCACTCTGCACAAGCCGTTGATTGTTAGCCAATCACAGTCTGGGAAATGAAAAAATAATTTTCTTATTGGTGGGCTTTTAAAATCCCAGCCAATAAGCTAAAAAAACATTTTTATTCAGAGCGAGGCTTGGAACCCGCTCCTGTATACATCGGCGCAGAATGGTGACGTTTAGATCGGTTGCCAAGGGTACCGCTTTCGTGTAAGGCTATTGGTTAGAGATGTGACAGCTCCACCAATAGGGAGTGAGCGCCTGTTCTCTGCTGATTCTCAGCCCATGTCTGTTATGTTATCATAGGAGTGTAAGCTTATCGTTCGCTATCTGCAGGGAGACGGTGCTGGACAGGTGAGGAGTTCTCCAAGCTCATTGTATGTGGCTATGTTGGCCGTTCACCAGGGAGAGAATCATATTATATTTGGGATGCTATGAGCTAATCAGAATGAAAGTCCTATTTGTGATCTGTCATTTTCTAATGGAGGTTTGGATCTGATTAGTTGCTATGGTAATACAGACAGATTGAGGGGAATTTATCAAAACTGGGGCAGACAAAATCTTGAGCAGCTGTGCATGGCAACCAATCAGTTTCTCTTTCATTCTCAAATTTTAACTGAACAAACTGAAGTTAGAAGCTGATTGGTTGCCATGGACGACTGCTCCAGATTCTGTCTGTTCCAATGTTGATAAATTCCCCCCATTGTATTTGTTGCACTTGTAGGGCTGACATTTTTTCTGCATCACTAAACCTTCCACATCGCTGTGTATTGAACAAGATTGAAGATTGTACAATCAGATTATAATGTGTATGGTCAGCTCAAAGTGGACACATTGTATTCCGCTACCATCCGCAAAGGTAAAAAGCTCACCTTGTTTTTGTTTTTTTATTAATTAATTAATTGATTCCAATCCATCCCCTGACTAGGTGAGAATGATGTGTCCATGCTTCCAGAGCAGAGTGGGCAACTCTGGCCCCCCAGCTGTGCATTAGGCCCCGTTCCCACTGCCCGATATGCAAATCGCGCGTTTGTTGCGCGATTTGCATATTGCGCAACATCGCGAGATTTGCAGCGCGATATCGCGTTCAAGCTTGCATTGAGCAAGCTTGAATCGCGGCTAAATCCGCTCCAAAAAGGGTCCTGCTGTAGCGACCCGCGACTGGGATCGGGAGGTGAGCGAACACATACAGGCGTTCGCTCACCTCTCGATCCTGTCACGGCTCTCTGCCGTGACAGGGGAGGGGCTGGATTTCCCCCTTCCCGCTCCGATCCGCCAGCGCTGACTGGGGGAGGGGGCGGGTACAGCTGGCTCTGCCTCTAGATAGGCAGAGCCAGCTGTCAGTCAAGCAGCTGGGCGGATCCCGGCACAATTGTCGGGATCCACTTCAGCTGCGGCGTCTCAGTATACCGCGAGCAGTAGCTCGCGGTATACTGTGGCGTCTCAGTATACCCTGTTTGGGTGTTCCAGTACATGTGTATGAGCCAATCTAACTGTGAGATTAGAGACCCATGCTAAATTATTTATTACATAAGGACAGTATAATTTTTTTATCTAAATTAAATGGGGTCAAGTTTGTTAAAGCGACCCTTACACTCAAAATCAAATTCAAACCAATGCATCCCTCTATGTATGATGATTAATAATGTCAGGTGTAGAATGCTGTGATTGTGAGATACTTACACTTGCAGAGCATTCACTTCCTGCTTTGAAAGTGTAAATGACTTTAGTTTGCCAAAGCAATACAAACTGGGATTGGCTTGTCATTGAAATAAGATCTCATTCATGGAAAAGATAATGGCTGTGAGATCTCGCGAGATTCCTCTTTACAGCATGCACTGTGGATCGATAGTTTCCTTTTATCATATGCACATGCACAAGAATAGCGGTGCATCGTCAGTAGGGGGTGTGGCTGTGGTAAAAAATGAATGATTTACCTTGCTGAAACATGGCCGTCTGCTGCATTGTGGCACCGAAATTTAAACATAAAAAAGGTATTTATAAAAGAGGATAGAGCGTTTTAAATGTGTTTTATTTGTTTATTGTTTATAAATGCTTATGGGAATGTTTTTTGTTTTTTTTTAGATATTCTATACTGCAGTGTAACGGTTTGCTTTAATTAATCAAATAGGGATGCATTGATACCAGTTCAGATACCAGTGCCGATACTTGGAATTTTCATGAGAACTACCAGGGTTGCAGCGGCTGCAGCTGGGACCTGGCTCTGGCGCTCCACCACTGTCCTGAAATCATTAGTCTGTATTGTTTTAGAAAAACGGTCACATGACAATAAACAAAAATGTATCAGTACTTGTACTTGCAAAAATGGTATCCGTGCATCCCTTTATTTATAAAAACAATATCATACATTAAAACAGAGATGTACAAATCCCAGGAGCTCCGTGTGCTCCTTACAAATGACAGCTGCCTCCTAACTTTTTTTTTGAGTTTTTCTCTAGTCTAGTCTTGGAGCTGGAAAAGTATCTGTACTTGTACCGAGTACGGTACTTGGTATCTGTGCATCCCTATCATCAGATCACATTGGCTGTGTCAAATCCTTTCTGCTCCCTGTAAAGATGAATGCCTGTACTAATGTCAGGGCCAGGTCAAATTCTACCACTAGTGGCCCACTGCTGAGGTGAGACAACCACTTCCTCTAATGTGAGTCATTCCCTCACTGGCCTCCTAACATTACACAATCCTGCTCACTAATGATGGAACAAATCTATAGGACAAGGTACGTGCTGTCTTAGCTGTCCTGTCACTGGCGACTTGCCATCAGTGACCGGATCGCTTTTCTGACATGAGCCTATGGCAGAGATGGACAAACTCCAGAAGCCAGGTAGCCAATGCTCCTTGAATTTTACAGCTGGTGTCTAACTTTTGAGGTTTTCTCTAGTTGTTGTCAATGGAGCTGACTCCTAAATACATCCTGCTGGCTCCTGGATTGGACATGCTATCTCCCGAATTCCATATACATTTGCCCATCCCAGCAAGGGCTGCCCTATTTCCTGTGACAGCCATGTAATCAGGCTGTCACTGTAGATCATAATGTCCAGGAATCTTGGTAGCATAGAGTGCAATTAGTGTTCAATTGTACTTTTGTATGGAGCAACAATGCTGTGTGTGTGCACTCTGAGTTCAAACTTGTCATATAGTGCTTAAGAGATCCCTGTCATTCTATTATTGAATAATATTAGGGATCAAATAAACCCAGGAAAAAAATGTAATTGAATTAAGTTGCCTCATTTCAGAACAGCACTCCGGCCAGTACTGCGCAGCAATCTAATCACTAATCATATGGTTTGCATTGTACCATGTATTTGGGTCTTACTCAAGCAAGGTATAACAGATCAGCAGAATGCAAGGAGATGTCATTGACTTCTGTGGCAGAGCTGAAAGTAAGTCATGTGACATCCCCCGTAGATTACAATGGTACCAGTATAACCAGTCACTGAGCCGGCCTACCTGTGTGGTCAAAGGTGATACAGTGTTATATTACAGGCTATGTGATCTAGCATGGATACTCTTTTACAGACAATTGCAATATTTCCTTGCACAATTTAAATGGTTTGAATGATTCTTATCTTTTCATTTTTTTTCTAGGTTGAAGTTGTATAAATTGTCTCTGAAATGGCAACACGCTTACGACCCGTAAGTATTTTCAAATATTGCTGGCCTTTGACTTAAAGAGCCACTGCTCCATAAGTTTGTATAACCTGGCAGAAATCATGAAATTGATATTGCAAATAGGACTGATTATGCCAAAAAAACTGTCTTTTATTTAAGGATAGGGATCATATGAAGCCATTTATTATCACATAGTTGTTTGGCTCCTTTTTTAAATTATAATGATATCAGAAATCAACCAAGTGGCCCTGATCAAAAGTTTACATACCCTGGAATGTTTGGCTTTGTTACACACAAGGTGACACACACAGGTTAAAATGGCAATTCAAGGTTAATTTACCACATCTTTTTAAATTGCAATTGTGGCTTTTTAAATTGCAATTAGTGTCTGTGTGTAAATAGTCAATGAGTTTGTTAGCTCTCATGTGACTGCACTGAGCAGGCTAGATACTGAGCTATGGGGAGCAGAAAATAACTGTCAAAAGACCTGCGTAAGAAAGTGATGAAACTTTATAAAGATGAAAAAGTACCGTATTTTTCGCTCCATAAAACGCACTTTTTTCCCCCCAAAAGGGGTGGAAAAATGTGTGTGCGTCTTATGGAGCGAATCGCTATCGCCGGACACCCGGGACATGCAGTTTCGGGTGCCGGCCGAGTAGTTTATGTGTACATTTAGCCATGCTCTGGACAAGCAGAGCTAAATGTACAGTGGGAGCCGCCGCTCGTTTATTACAAGTGATCTAATCAGATCACTTGTATCAAATCGAGCGGTGGCGATCGTAGCTTCCCAGCCAGTCAGCATTGAGCCTGTCAAGCAGCACGGAGCTGGCTTTCCGGCCAATCAGCATCAAGCCGGCTGTTTGGCTGTTTTCATTCAGCCCTTTTGGCTGTAGCGTATCAAGCTTGTAGATCAAAATAAGTTCACGCTGCAGTGTCACATTTAGCAGGTCACAACCCTTTTGGGTTTTTTAACCTTTTCAACTACTCTAAACCGAAGTTGTGAGCTTCTTTGATTTGCCTCCCAAAATGACGTGCCACAGGTGAAAAATCTGATGTGCTGACATCTCTCTGGTGTTTGAAGCTTTTTCTAGTTCCTTGTGAGGTCTGGCCAACATAATCCAAACCATATAGGCATTTGAGAAGATAAATGACATTAGTAGTAGAGCAGTTGGTAAAGGTGGGTGAAGGGAATTTTCTCCCTGTATGGGGATGTGTGAAATATTGTCCTTTTTATTACACAATTACATTGCAAATAGTGTCCACTAGGATACATGACCTGGAGCAACTGCTGCATCCACAATCCGCTCATACCTGCATTGTCATTCTCCTCAGCGCCAGCACAGTCTGCATGGACTACTATGTCCTGAAATGTGCACAAACGTCTATGTGCAAACATAGCTGGGTCTCCCCTGCAGTCTTTTAGAGAGTCGGCTTCCCAGCCAATCGGGAAGCGGGTCACTACCCGCCGCCCGGCTTCCTGATTGGCCGGAAAGCTGACTCTATGCTGTTTGGCCGACTCCATGCTGATTGGCTGGGAGGCCAGCTTCCCGGCCAATCGGCATCGAGCCGGCCAAACAGCATGGAGCTGGCTTCCAAGCTAATCAAGAAGCTGGGCGGTGAGTTATAACCCACCGCCTGGCTTCCTGATTGGCCAGGAAGCCGGCTCCATGTTCTCTCACAGCAACGCCGGTTCCGGTATTGGGGGGTAAGTATGGGAGCATTTGGGCGAGTACGAGTATTGGTGCATCCCTAATACAGAGAGAAAAAGGTGTACAGTGGCTTTGATCTGTTAAGCTTTGAATTGATGACATGTATGTGTTTCTGTACAGCCTGTTCGGTTTATAACATCCCATGTTAAACAAAGGGAATCTAATCTAGTAGCTTTCTTCCATGGACTAGTGGACAGGAAATCAGCCATGAATATAGCTCCTCAAAATGCTTATATATTTTGTTTATGAGGAAGGTACAACCCCAATTCCAAAAAAGTTAGGACGATGTGTAAAATCTACATAAAAACAGAATTCAATGATTTAAACTGAGAAAATGCTACATTGTAAGAATAAAATAAGGTAATTTTGAAATTGATGGCAGCAACACGTCTCAAAAAAGTTGGGAGAGGGCAACAAAAAGCTGGAAAAGTAAGTGGTACTAACAGGGCCGGATTTACTCCCTCTGCCGCCCCAAGGCCAGGTTCCACAATACGCCCCCTCCCCAATTCTCTGCTGCCCCGAGGCCCGGGCCTCGGTGGCCTTGTGGGAAATCCGGGCCTGGGTACTAACAAGGAAGAGCTGGAAGAACATTTTGCAACTAATTAGATTAATTGGCAACAGGTCAGTAACATGATTGGGTATAAAAAGAGCATCTTAGAGAGTCAGAGTGTCTCAGAAGTAAAGACGGGCAGAGGATCACCAATCTGTGAACAGCTGCGTCTAAAAATTGCCCAACAATTTCAGAATAATGTTATTCAATGTAAAATTGTAAAGACTTTAAATATATCATCATCTACAGTACAAAATATGATCAAAAGATTCCGAGAATCTGGAGAAATCTGTGCTCAAAGGGACAAGGATGAAACGCAATATTGGATGCCCATGATCTTCGGGTCCTTAGATGGCACTGCATTAAAAGCAGTCATGATTCCGTGATGGACAGAATCATGGAATACTTCCAAAAATCACTGTCTGTGAACAGAGTTTGCTGTGCCATCAAAAATGCAAGTTAAAGTTCTATCATGCAAAGAAGAAGCCGTATCTGAACATGATCCAGAAACGCAGCTGTCATCTATGGGCCAAAGATCATTTAAAATGGTCTGTTATAAAGTGAAACACTGTTCTGTGGTCAGACGAATGAAAATGTTACATTCTTTTCGGCAGCCATGGGCGCCAGGTCCTCTGGACTAAGGTGGAGAGGGACCTTCGAGCTTGTTATGAGCTCTCAGTTCAAAATCCTGCATCTCTGATGGTATGGGGGTGCAATAGGGTGTATGGAATGGGCAGCTTGCACATCTGGAAAGGCACCATCGATGCTGAAAGATAAATCCAGGTTTTAGAGCAGCATATGCTGCTCAATTTTCTCAGTTTAAACCTTTTTGATAAGTTTTCTATTGTGAATAAAATCTGGGTTCATGAGAATTGCAAATCATTGAACTCTGTTTGTATGTAGATTTTACACAGCGCCCCAACTTTTTTGGAATTAGGGTTGTAAGATTTCTTGCACATTGTATACGTATTCTGTAAGTTTTTGATGTTTCGCAAGACGCTCACCTTGTGAAAATCAGGTGCTGCATGAACTGTCCATCAGATGGGCGTTTATGCCCCATTTTCTGACCATCCTAAAATAAAGTCGGTCAGAACACTGTCAGTGCCAGGCTTTCTTGATCTCTGTGTTTGATCATGATGTATGCACAAAGTACAAAAATGTAAATACTGCTAGTCTCCTAGAGAAATATAAACTGAAAACAGAGTTTTGATGTACATTTTTCTATATATATATATATATATA